CCTACGAGACAGTTTAGTGTTCCCCTATATTAAAATGCCAACAGGAGTACTAAGAGAAACACCAAGAAGTCTGCTTCAGATTGTCTTTCCTGAGACTTATCTACTAGTAAAGCTGGCTCTCTATTCCTTGTCTTGGTGAATCTTAATACCCTTCATGATGAAGTCGAATACTATCTTGAAAGGTAAACTGCAAGGAGAAAGGGCTTCTTTCACTTCACGATTATTTACATCTAAAAACAGTGTCATGGTATCCAGTTGTCATGGTATCATACCAACATGGAAGCGGCTGTGGGATTTGAAGGTCTTTTCACAACGTTCACAGTGACTGTGCAAGCTACATACACATACCTGGAGCTCTTGCTGCTATTCTCATTTTAGGTAGAGAAAGAGGTCATATTTACATATCACTCTTTGGTTTTCTATTTTTACTTCTTGCATTGTTTTTTATTTTTGAAGTTTCATTGTGACTGAAGAAAGGGAAGTGGTAGACTTTCAAATTCATTTGAGACAGTGCTCAAAGATATTTTATGAGATTAACACTTCTAATAAAGCTTTGTAGCATGCAGTGTATTTGAATTAAAAGCTACGTTGTATTTTGCATCTGAGAATTCATACAGACAAAGAGGATCAAAGAAAGGGCATTGAGCATGAACTCTCATTAAGGACTCAGTTTCTACAGTTTTTTGGATTCAGTGGAATTTACAGCTTAATGAAGCAGGATTTCATTACACTCGTGTATACAAATCAGCTGGACTACAACATAAATACTTTTTAAAAAAAACAGAGGAATCCAGTAAATGTTATATACATACTTTCTTACCTTTGCCTACCAATTTACTCATCCACAACCATGTATCTATGCCTCTAAGGCTCTTAACACATTCAGAGGCCAAAAATTAAACATCTACCATTTTATTACTATAATGTTTTGTACTTTAGAGATACTCTAGACTACTAGGTACATTTTGAGGAATGACTAAACAAAGTAAATAATAAAACCAGACTATTTCAATAACTTCTTTCAAGCAGCATCCTTAAATTCACTATATATTTCTTTTTATCATAAGCACTCTATCAGGTCATTAGCATTATAGCTGTGTATTTCCAAGTTAATTAAATCTGCTTAATTCCCTAAACAACTTTAGAGTCGTAAGTTCTTTCTCCTCAATTTTATTTGGGATAAAACTAATTTTACAATCTCTTTGCCTTCTTCCTCTCTTGTATCATTCTGGCATGACTGTGGAACTTTCCCAGAGGAATGGCTGCACCATACTTGATATGGGAGGCCGGAACAAGCTCTCGGTGCCTTAAGCCACTCAAACCACCCCTGCTGAAAGTGGTCCATTTTCAGCTGAGGTCACGAGCTCTGAGAACTACACTCTCGTAGCCTGTCATGAATGGAGATGTGTCAATGGGACACAAGCACATCACCTTCATGCTCCTGGCTCCTAAACCTGCAGATTCAGACTGGCAGCAGAAATGGCATCTCTTAGATTCTGCATAAGCCCAGAGCCTGTCTTGAACTAAATAGAGAAGCAACAGAAATTTGCTGCCATTTCCATCGATGACAAAGGCATCACTCTTAGCTATAACCTAGCTTAAGCAAACCCAAGTCAGACAAAGATTTTCTCTGCTGGGGGCTATACATCTGTTCTCTCTCAAGTTTAACACAGCTATGATGTCTTATCACTTCAATGACATTCATGGATTTCTTTCATATGCTTTGCTGCATATTTTAATGGTGCTATTACTCTGAAACCACTACACAGAACAAGATAAGCTAAGCATGATAGCACGAGTACTATTTGAAGATTGTCAACAACTCACTAAATTTCCCATACAAATGATAAACAGGATGTGTTTGCTAGCAAGGGAATGGAAGGAGCAAAAATACGGTATTATCCAGGGGAGCTTAAGGAACGAAGGTTTGGAGAGGGTGAAGGAGATCTGTTCAAAGATCTTCAACAGGACGATTTTCTCCAGCTGTTTGTGGAAGATGCATTTTATCTCACTATTTTTCATATTCTATTAAAGGCTACCAAGATGAAGACTGACTCTGTGTTGAGATTATGCTAGAAAGCACTTCTCTAAGTAAATACACGTAAAAAGTAGAAGTAACCTTCTTCCATGCTATGTCCTAATGGATATGTCAGGTGTGGATACAAGAAGTTATCTATTAAAGTATGTTAGTTTCCAGTTGTCATTTTTTCCAGTATTTCTGCAGTACTGTTGATAAGATGGGCAGAACAAATATTTTCCAGGGACAACCAATTTTGTGAACAGTTATCTATGAAATACTAGATGTCAAAAGTGGTTTTGATTTACACCTACCTTTAGGAAAATCTCAGAAATTAGAGATGTGAAAGAACTTAATTTTTTCCATCCTCAAGAGGGAAATCAAAGGATTGTTCTCATCATTTACCTACTTTGTTATGGGTGGATTAAACCATGGAACTTTTAACAAGTTATTCCTATTACATTTCCTTATTTCTTATGAAATATTAATTTCCTCCAGTACACTGTAAGCAATCTTAATCTTGTATAAATGCTTAAATCTTACACGTTTCCTGAAAGTTATTCTAGTGGAGAATATACACCATTTAACTGGAAGGAGACTTATCTTGATATAAAAGAAAATTCTTATAAATTCTTTGCATGGGTTTCACTTGAATTTGTTTTCACTTATTGAACGCTAACAGATCCCAACAAAAATAATTTTAATGACAATTTCAGAACATATTTAAGTCTTTTTTTATTCTGTTATCCAGTATTACCTAAATGGTGAAGTTTCCCCACACATAAATACTGCTTTCTTATTTAAGAGCCTAATCTTTTAGAAAGAGCACCTCCTAACTCACCTTGAGTAACCGAAGTTTTTGTGGATGTATACTATTGACAGCTAAACCATTTAAATAAATAAATGTCTATGAGTATTATTTACACAGATCATTTAGGTTCCAAGAATTCTGCATTCAGTGTAGAGAAAGAAGCTTCTAGAGAAATTAAGAGCACCCAACCCAGATCCCTACTCTGAACTATATTCCCTTTTTAATTATACAGGAAGAGCAGGGAAACAAGCCAACTTTGCCTGAAGTTAGCTCTTGTGAACAGTCCCCCATCCATCTCATCCATAAACAACAGTATTTGAACCTAGACAGTTTTCAGCATTGGCATCTATATTTCTAGGAGCTCAAATTGTTGTACTATCTTCTTTCATCAACAGTGTTACTTATCCTTTCAAGCATTACTTACAGATAGTAAAGAAATTGGACTGTGAAGGATCCCTCTGAGACCCCACTGGACACTTTCCAAAAGTAGATCATTTTACTGTGTTCTATTTAATCCTTTATACACTTTTCAATCCAGGTGAGAAGACTGAGAGGCTATAAACACAATAGTTTTCCAATAAGACTGTACAGCACAATATAGTATGAATCAGACACAGTACTGCAACGTGTTCAGTTGGTCAGCAGAAGCATCAATCACTTTCCCAACCTGTTCCGATGATTATAACATGCGAGGTAAGTGCTGGCTTCTTTCACATTGACACTGAGATTCATCCCCTGGCATCAGGAAAGACTGAAGTTCAGTTTAATAGAAGGTAATTCCCAATACCGGTTAAAAAAACCCAAACATTTACTATATTTGCCTCTTTGCCTTTTGGCAGCTACCTAATGCTTCTTGCCTGTTGCAAGAGACTGCTGAAGGTTTAAGTACATACAGAAACTTGCTAAAGGATCTGCGATGTGTAATATCCAGATCTGCTGATGGTTACATCTTAAAACATTTCATTTTATTAAAAAAAAAAATTATTAGAACTAAGCTAACTTTTTAAGATCAGAAGTCCAAAAGATGCACGAAGAGCTTGAACTTTTTAAGTGTAAAAAAAAAAAATCTTGTCACTCAGAATTGTATGACTGCATGGAACACATTTCGGTAAGAGTTTTAAACATGGAAAATAATCATAAATTGGTCTTAAGAATGAGATTGCATATAACAGATACAATAACAATTAACACTACTCTGCAAGGCGAACTATTTTAGACTAAGTTTATCTTCTACTTTTTGTTTTTCATCAAGATTTTTAAGTCCTCATACATACTCATTAACGCTGAAAATAATTACTTTAGATTACATACTCCAGAAACAAATCAAAAGAGCAGATCAATGTGCGTTAATCAGAGCACATATTCATTGTAGACTGCAGTGCATTTCTAGACGAGGGGTAGTTTAAATGGTCTTCAGGTACTGCTCTGGCAAGGACTGCATAGAGCACAGTATGTGATAGCTCAGCACCCCTTTTCCCCAAAAAGGGCAGAGTAAAAGTTACACCTAGTTAATTTCAGTGCTGCTGTGGCTAAACAAATTTCACAGCCTGCAGTGTGATTTCCATAGTACTGGAAGATAAACCCCAAGTTCCTGCACTTCTTAGATGCTTGAAGGCTGTCTTAAAATTAAGAGCTAATGCAGGAGGCGGCTACATTTATACCTGATAAACCTGATCACTATCTATACAAGGCTATGTTTGACATTAAGTTAAAAGAAGCAACTGTGCTGCAAATCATCACTCTCAACTTACCTGGTGCTAGCCCAGCAGTAGCAGGACTTCCCATGGAGGGGTGAGAGAACAAGGCTTGAGAGAAGGCAGACATACTTGACTGGGATACATTACTCAGCCTGGAGGTTGATCCTCCTTTAGGAATAAACTCACTTGCAGAAGGGTTTGGTGTCTGTTTAAAAACAAATGTAAATTAAATGTTTATTTTAAATGTGAAGAGATGGACAGCACCTATTTGGTAGAAAATACTTTCTAGGCAAGCCTACCAAGTGCAGGGGATATTTTTAAGTTACATACAGCTTGCTGACAAGAACAGCAGATACTGGAAACTGGTCTGCATGAATAAATTTAAACGTGTTTCTAGCTTGTGTCTGAAGAAGCATTAGCAAGCTTTCCATATGAACAGCTCACGTATGAGTTCATACAAACACTTTGCAAAAGGCTTTCCATAAGCATTACATTATAAAGTTGGAGAACAGACTTGACACTGAGAAAGCCTTGCCACTGCTGCACAGACGGTTCGTACGTGGCTCTAGAGATTTCATCTCAAACTAAGTAGCAGTTTCAAATTAAAGCAGTACAAATGATTCCTACTAAAGAAGTGATCCCTGTCTCTATTTCAAATAGGCCTATATGTTCTTTTTTTTGTGAAGTTAACTTCTGTTTTAATTACCTATTCCATTTATGTAGCACCTTTAATAATGAGGTTTAATTTGGTACCACAGAAACAAATAGCAGCAGAGTGACCAAACATTCAGTATTTATCAGTACATAAAACATCTCACACAACAAACTTTTAATTTCTATTAAAGTCTGTGCACAAGGTTTTGTTGTTTTGGGGTGAGTTTTTTGTTTGGTTTGGGGTAGGGAGGGTTAGAAAAAGACAATCCTAATTAAAGCTCAAAAGGCAAAAAGCTTATTAATGGACAGCCAATTACAAAAGACATTAGTGGAAGAAAAAAGAAATTAAGCCAAGAAATAAAACCAATTATTGCATGAACACACTGGGAAAAACTTGAAGATTATTAACTGTCAAAGTTAAGTTTAAGTCATCTTCAGAGTACCTCTCAAAAGTGTCTAAACGAAAGAGGTAAAATGAGAAGACAGTAACGACTTCCAATAGACAAAGGATACTGTTAAGATAATCCATAATGGTTTTTTAAAGCAATTATATTGGATCACTTTGGTTTTAGGCAGTTTTAAAATGACCAAATATATCAAATGTTAAATTACCAATATTGATTTTTACCAATATGAATAAAGAGGCATCAGAGAATTGAAGTTAGTGCCAAATTAGAAGAGAAGAGTGATTACAAAACACTAATTTAGACAGCAAAGTATTTGAAAAGCATTCTTTTTTTGGTGTTAATTTGTTTTCAGTATCTTTATTTGAATACTTCAGCCAAATATCACAGTATTAATGTATTATATACTATCATAGTATTAATTTCAAAGCACTGGAAAAGAAAGAGGATTCTAAAAGGTGTAAAACTAAAGAGGATGCTCAGGCTTAAAGCAAATAGTAAGAATATTCCACCTTTAATCACACAGTAAATATTAACTGCTAACCACCTTATGATGTTACCTATTAGTCATTCTGTATGTGCATGTGTCTGAATATTCAAAGAACAGCTATAACCAAATATGTAGACTGGTGAAGTAAAACACAGATTTACATGGGTAAAAAGTTCATAAGAATCTTAAAACTCTTCAACCATATTTAGTTAAGGAAAACTTGCTAAGGTATTCACTAATGCAGCAAAACAAATGGTAATTGGCATTATACGGACTAAAGACAAATAACATACATTTAAACTCAAAAGGTAATATACTGGACTTATCTGAATTTTAGGTATAGGAATAACTAGAGAATGGTGCTTCTCTAGATAAAATCTGGCATGTAACAGTTCAGCCAAATCTGCACTGAAACTGGAGAAAATGACAGAGGTGGTAAAGAGCCAAGTAGAATTTGTCCAAATAGTGATACAGCTGAGAAGTCATCATCAAGCAAAACAACTGGGAGAGCAAGGGACAGAATTTGTAGCATCTTGTTAAAAGCACATAATTTCAATGGTCCACATTTTTCCACTGCTAAAACTAGCCATGACACATACACAGATCTACCACACCTAAATACTGTGTCAACTAGGTGACAAAGGCAGGAGCTAGCAAAAAAAATTGAAGCATGCAAGCAGAGAGAAAAACACCTTCCGGAAGATAACCTCAGCTTTTCCTAGAGCAACTGAGAGAGTTCCCAAAATCCCATCCATACCATTCTGGCTAAACTTTTACCAGTTTCAGCAACTGATTCAATTAATGCCTACAGAACAGGGCTGCTTTTTATTTCTAAATGTATTCTGCAAGTTTTCATAGACCAGTTTTGGTCTCTAAAAGTTACTTATATATCCATCATCATTTTAAAATGAAGCTGCTTGAGAGCTCCACTTTAACCGGTAAGTGTTTTAATTTATCCAAGTGAAAGAGTCAAACCCAGGAATCTGCTAGAGCAGCTTGGGTTTATGCCGTAGAATTACAAACAGCAGTGGGTCAAACCTGATGGAAATTCAGTTTTCATTCCATTTTTTGGTGTCACAATTCAGCATCAGAATCAAAGCCTGATAAGATTAAGTTGTTTCTATATAACTGATGAAAGCATTTTATATGAGTAAACAGCTTTGATTTCTCTCTGTGATGTTACAAACATGAAGCTGTAATCCAAGACTCTCCCCATTGGTAAAGAAAGTGATTTAAATTTTGGTTCCAATTTTAAAAGACCCTTCCACATTTAAGCTGTTTTCTAAATACAGAAAAATAACTGAGCTCCACAGTCACCAGCCAGAATAAACTAATCATAAGCTAGTACAACAAAATTTAATAGTTTGTAGTCAAAACTAGTTGATGTTTTGTCAGAAAATTCGAAGCTTAAGCCCCAGACCACATTTAAATACGTTACATCTATGTGAAGCTGCAGTTCTCAAAGCGTTTCCAAAAGCACACAAGTTTTCATCTGAAGTAAAACACTAATTTTTCTGCTTTTGTTTTTCCAACAAAATAATAAAAAATATAACATACATAAAATATGCAGACTAGCATAAGTGACTAGACTAGCCTAAGTGAGGGAAAGGAATATCACTATTAGTTCTTTAATATTTAATCATTTTTCAAACTTGGTAGACAACCTATTCTGCACCAATGAGCATGCAAATATGCCAAAATTAGGAAGCCACATTCTTAATGGCCAATGATTCAAAAAATTATGTTCTTGCTCTGGAAAAATATCCTACTTTCACTCTGGCAGCTCATAATACAAAGTGTAAATTCCAGTGTTAGTTTTATATTTGGATCAATGGTAAGCTTGAAAATCTGTCTAAAAGGGGATATGCTTTAAAATCCTGCAGGGCATTTTTACAGTTTTTCTGTTAGAATATTACCAAACTTCCCAAAATAAAGTTGAGTAAAAAAATTTAAAGTTTTATAAGAATGAAAATAATCTGTATCTAATTACTGAAAAACATTTTCTTCATTATGTATTTCGTTTCAATTCCCCACAAGCACAGCTTTAAAACAAATTTCACTTAATTAGTCATTAATTACTCATCTCGGAGGAAGGTAACTTATTCACTCTAGACAAGCCTTAAAATTTTAAGTCTGAGTAAATCAGGATTGGTAAAAAAATGGTAGAGAAAACAGGTATTGAAGACTTTTAATAAACCTTGGGAGTAATTAAAAGAACGGAGATGCAAGAAATACTTAAGAGGACGTGTAATGAATTATGCAATACTGTGATGTTAAAAACAAAAGCAGTGAATGCACTTTCTAAAGCCCAAACAAGAAACAAAGCCCGCTAGCACTGTCTGCACTATGCAGCAAACTAAAGACTCTATTTTGTTTCAAATGCAAGTGTCCTATAAAAAGGCACATACAAAATTATTTCAAAACATTAATTAACAAGTTTTCAACAAACAGCACTAAACAGAAACAAGTACAGCTGTGTCAGCTATGTTAAATTTTTCTAGCAACCCACCTAAAGTAACCTCCAACTCATACATTTGCTAAAATTACCACCATTCCTTTTTCCACTCAACCTGGCCAGTTTAAACCTCATCCCCCTTCTTCCAGTATATTCGTAAAAATACTGTCAAACTAAAGCAGGGAAGCAACTTCCCTAGGCATTATCTGAATTAATACCTGCATCACACATTCTTACCAGAATGATTCCATGAAGAAATTTCACTAAAATACCTTATTTTCAGATTCTTTATGCCTGTGCTCTCTCAAAGAGAAAGGAGCCTCTTTTCAGTCAGCTTTGCAAAGAAACTTCCAAAGACAGATCACAAAACTGAGTCAATCCAGCTCCACATACAAAACCAATTTCTATACTTCCGTACATCAGAGAATGCAAAATGTTATAAAACACATACAAATACAGTCCAAATGAAGGCTGAATTTAGTCGTGATGCAATTAGTAAGGATGCAACCACAAGAGAAGTAAAAAAAAAAAGGGAGGAGGACTATAAAACAACTCATGTCACCATTCAGCACAGAGTTTAATCTGTCTGGTGGCTTCTATCCTTTTAAAGATATAAAAGGAAATACAATTAAAATACAGTGTGGAGGGTAAGAAACAAGTTATTTTGTGGGTATCACCAAAAAACAATTCAAGGCTCCTTAAAGGAAGGTGCAGATGAAAGTAAAGAGCAAGCCAAGGATCTCATCGCTGGGAGGACCGCACAGCAGCACGCAGCATTACTGGAGGAGTTGCACATATCAACAGATTTCCATAGTCCAGAAGTAAGATGAAAATTCCTGTTTCATCAACTATCGATTTCAATACATATGCTTTTTTCTTTACACTCCTCAGGGATAAACTCCTAAGGCCCCAACTGCTGCATTCATTCACAAATGAATCCTCAAAGCACCATGGAGTACCAAAGTATGCTGTAACACAGGGGTGCACAAGTTACGGAGCCTTTGGAAGGTCATGCAGGGATCCCAGGGAGTACTGGAAACCATCCTTCTCTCTCTCATTTCCAGTTCAGCATCTCCCAACAGAGCTGCACAGCAGCAGCAGAGCCACCACCTCTGTTTCAGTGGCTGTAACACAACTCCGTTAGACTGGTCCTCGTCCCACATTCTACCAAATCCCAAAGCCAGCTACCTACAGCAAAAAGTAGGCCAATTTCATTTTATTACAGAAGATTGTGCTAATGTACTTACCATGCTAAAAACTGGATACAAGCCTTTTTGTTCTCTTTTTATGTTCTCCTTCACCTCCAAATTCATGCTGATCTGTTCTGACATCCCAAATTGCATAACCCTGTAATGGTTACAGAAAACCACCACTAAACTATACCCACGCTATAAGCAGGGCAGTCCTCTACCAATCTATTTTTGGCATAGTTTTCAGAATATCTCTTAGGAATCCAAAAACATGCAAAAGAGTTGCTTGGTTTTTGTGTGTGGTTATTTTTTTGTCGGTTTGGGGGCTTGCTTTGTTGTTGGTTTTGGTGGGTTGTTTTTTTTTTTTTTTGGTTTGGGGGGGTTTTTTTTTGTTTTTTTTTGTGGGGTGTTTTTTTTTTTTTTTTTTTTTTTTTTGTTTTTTTTTTTTTATAATGGACAGATGTGCCCTACAAGGAGCTTCACTTTACATAGAGACCATCGCTGCAATCCCTCTGTTTCCAGGAGGATTCCTTGTTAACTATGACATCAGGGAAGAACACATTCTGGGATGTCAGAGCAGCCCAGCAGACACTGGAGGTCACCACGCATT